CCAGCAATGGTTTTATTAACTTTGTGAACACATAAGGGGCACAATTTACCCTAAACGGTATTGTATTGGACGAGCTGTCCCTTGGATATGAATCTGAAATATATTCTATGACTCTCCCTAATGGGTATCAAAATCTCTGCATATTCTAAACCCAGATTCGTTAAAAAAGTATTTCCACGGAGAAGTCTGATCCCAGTTCAATAGCCTTCTCCCTATCTATCAGACTTGGGGCAAGAAAACGTTGGATAGGCGCTGATTTTTAGTTAGCTTAACTTTTTTACTGATAGCACCGCAGCTAAACAATTGAGAGACTGTTGAAGGTCGGTAGTTTATAGATGGACTAATGAGATTCAGCTATGGAAGAGTGCTGGAATATGTGAATGGCAAGTGGCCACTCGAATCCAACTCAGGACTTTAGCGCAAATCCTGCCATTGATGATGAATACGGGTCAATCTCCCTGCTGATCTACGTACCTCATCTGCAATAATCGGTAATGGCTGATTATTGTTGCTGCTCATACGAGTATTTATCTGATGTATATTTAGAATTGACTTACTAGGTCAGGCCTACACCGAAGAGCACGTTATCATTGGAAGCCTCTGTTAGAGTACTCCTGAGTTCTTTGCTTAAATATCTGCCAGCATGCGCCTATCCCCCTTCTTTGAACCTAGAGGAGAGAGGATTGCTATTTGCAGTTAATGAACAACTCACATGTGGCTGTACAGGGACCAAGCGCGCATCCCTCAGTGCGACAATTTCTATTATAGCCGCTACCTCAGGGTTTCACCCTGGGTGGCTAGAATGGAACAGATTTTATTCATCTGCCGTCATCAACAAGACCTGCCCTCGAAATGCCTTGGATCAATGCGCAAACATTAATTATACTAATGTCGCCGCACCATCGTGGTGATGCGTCATCTATTGAAACAGAATACATGACCTTTAAGGCATCACAATCCAGAGCGCCCTGCTGTTCGAGTGCTACCTATGCAAAATGTAACGCTAATCGGGCATAATGATACTTGACATATGCTATCACAAGCAACATGTAACGCTAGTCTCGCATAGATGAAATCCAATATCTATCTTTATTAACGAAAAATGGTACTTTAGCAGTTTACTAAACTGCCATGCGCATTCTGACAATCACGTTCCAAGGTTATCACAAACCAGATCGAATTTTCTATCACAGGCAAAATGTAAGGCTAAACTCGCATAAGGTGCCTATTCTCTATCTGGTAATAAGAAAAAAATATACTTTGGCGGTTTCCTAACCTGACATGTTCATAATTACATACCTCTTACATGGTTATCACAAACCCGATGGAATTTGCTATCACAAGCAAAATGTAACGCTATTCTCACATAAATGGACCCAATTTTTATCTGTTATTAATGAAAATTGCTGTATTGCTACATTGCTACCACAAACTAGATGGAATTGGCTACCACAAATAAGATGTTACGCTAGTCTCGCAGTGATGAAACCTAATCTGCATCTGTTATTAATGGAAAATGGTACTTCGGCGGTCTCCTGAACTGTCATGTGAATTCTTACAATGCTGTTCCAAGCTTATTACAAACCATACTTTGTTGCTATGTTGCCCCAAATGCTTTCAGTGTTGTAATTTGTCGTAGGATCTTAGCCATCACAAGCTAAGTACAAGTTACCATCACAAGCAACGGAGGTCAGTGTTGAGTCGTTATCTCAAACATCTTCATTCGCCATTGGTGTGGAGCTGACTAAGCTAGGTCCAGGTTGCTATCCTAAGCAACCCAGTCCAATGCTTCCACGTTATCCCAAACGTCTTTGTCCGTCTGTCGTGTGGAGCTTACTATCACAAGCCAGGTCCACGTTGCTATCCCAAGCAACCGAGTCCAATGTTTCAGCGTTATCCCAAACGTATTTGTTCGTCCTTGGCTATCACAAGCTAGGTGCAGGCTGCTATCCCAAGTAACAGTATCAGAACGTTATCCCAAACGTCGTGTCAGGCACGGTCTGCAACGCCGATGAGGAATATATACTAACATTGACCTAACTTGCACCTAAAACAGATCGGTTTGTCGATGGTGACGCCCCTTCAGAAAAAGAGACCTACCCACACTGTCTAATTTTACTCCGCGACAAAAGGAAGCGTCCGTTTCGCGGCGTCTCGCCGACAATGCACATCTATCGGCCAACATTCGGTCCACCTGTCCAATTCCTCAACACTGCTGAAAACCTAATAATCCTGTGCGTGAACCCGATTGACATGTTAAACATTTGGCACGAGAACAAGGAATGAGATGTTATAAGCGGCAGAGAGGAGGAAGTCACGATACACATACACTGAAGATAGGATGTTGCGCATGTGGGTGGCGCTTCGTGACGTCACCTGAGAGTTGTCGGCTCATGATTACCAAAGGCAGGATTGTCGTAACGTTACTGCAGTGTACTTGTATCGTGGTTAATACTACACAGTGCGATTTGTTGGTGATTTTTAGTGATTTTTGTGACTTGTATCAGTTATACATACTTTATATACACTGTGAGGTTGATAAATTCATAAAAATGCGGTGTGCTGTTGTGGGAGGTAATTCCGACAACCAATCTGAACGGAATCCTTGCAAAGACATGAAGTTCACCAAGACTCAAACCTTAGCAAAAAAATCTTACAAGAAGAAAAGACAAAGTCATGTAAAAAACGGAAAATTCAGCTAAAATCCAATACCTGTTAACAAGACTTCTTAATCAAGATGTGATAGAAAACTTTTTCGGAGTAATTAGTGCAAAAGATGGTCTTCACGACCATCCAAGTCCACTAGAGTTTAAGTATAGAATAAGGTCTTATATTTTGGCGAAACGAAGGCGCATACTCAGAGAGAGTATTGCATCATTAATTGTCTTACTGGCAATTATACTAAAACAAAATTGCATTATAAGAACAGTAATAAAGCAATTATAAAATAAAATAGAACGGACAGTTGGAAATTATGAAATATATTTGCTAGATGGGCTTGGCGGTGTCAAAAGCACAATAAGGAACCAAGAAAAAAAGTCAAGATATGGGTAAGAAACCAGCACGAGAAATATTGGCACTTAATGACTGGATGCAAATATAGGAAAGAATTTATCTTCGGGCCATTTTTGTTACGCCGAAGCAGCCACTTAGGCAGAAGCATAAATGCCAAGCAAGGCTTCTATGAGGATCCCAAAGAAACTTTGTTAATCTGATTTTTGAACTGCCTAAGGTTAGTAGAACTGGGAAGAACTTCCTCCTGTAGACGGTTCTACTATCTAGATACACTCAGGACAAAGGAGCGGTCGTATCGGCCAGTTCCAGATGTACGAAGTTCGACACGGTTAGGATGGGAGCTCGCAGGTTTGTCCGGCAGGCACATTGCGCGACGACATCATGGAGGAGAGCTCTGAGGAGCAAAGCCCGTTGGTGTAGCAGTAGAAGAGAGCTAGATCGCCGATGTCCCGCCGGTACGAAAGGGACCCAAGACTGTCTGTTAGAGAAGAATCATCAATCAGTCGGACAGCCCTGCTCTGGACAGCATCGAGCATGAATAATGTAGTCGGGGCGGCAGCAACTGCTCTCAATGAGTAGAAACCGACTCCGTGTAGTTACATGCCTTCATAAATGGCCTGAAAGAACGCCTGCGTAAAGTAGGGATTCATGATGGAGACCTCAACTACAGTTAAAGCGGGAAATAAACAGCATCAGCTTTATACGTCTTATATGAGAGCGACGGGTTGGATCACAAAAGACATCAGGGAACCAAACTTAGAAGCGAGGAGGTTTGAAACAATGCTGACAGGGAAACTATACCTACAATACTAGCCTGCTGGATTGGGTACGGTAAATTCGAGGGGCAAGGTACAATAAGCCCAAAAGGCTGCAGTGTCATTGGGGATTTTTTTCGAACCGGAGTTCTTTTTCAACAGTGATACTGAAACGAAAGCTTGCCCAACGGTATGATTTCAATATAATATGGTATAATTCGGTTCGAGCAAGTTTTTTTCTCAGAAACAGGTATATAACAGCATTAAAGATACCGTTGTTCGATAAGCACATTAGTAACCTATCTCAAAAAACGTATGCCAACTTGAGGCTAATTTATTCTAATAGATACATCGTAAGCTATAAGACCAGAAAAAAGTTAACTGAAAGCTTGATTATATTCTATCCACACTATTCGTTAATAAATTTTATCCTTACTTAGATTAGTCGGATCGATATGAAAGGCAGAATTCAAAACAACTGTTACAGATTCGTGTTTGGCCCTCGTATATCCAGTCATGTTTCTTCGAAGATTAAATAATTACGCTGATTGAGAATAGAACCACAGTCTGTCTATACTTTGAATATGTTCATCCATAGACTTGTGCGTACACAAAAACCAACATACCTCTAGGATACATTTTTACCAACAGGTCATATTAATCAGGAAATGCTCAGTCATAACATCCACGATGCCAATTTACTATTTCAAAAGAGTTTTACCTTCCACACGGTTAGGTTATACGAGTACAACTCCACAAATCGGAATTTCTGGAATAAAAAGAAGTTGATTAGGCTTAGGAAATTGCTGTTTATTTTTTATGAATTTGATTTAATATTATTAGAATGTTCTGGAGATTTTTCCTTTTTGACTGCCCTCCATGTAGATCATTTTGTTTTTCCTTAAATAGTGTATTTCGAGATTATTGTTGATATTTTATTTGTATCTTTTTCTTGCCCTTTTTCTGTATACTTTGTCTTTATTACTTTGTGTGTAAAAGTAGCCCTATAGCTAAACTTTGCCTCTCTGATGTGCTTTATTATTATTATTATTGTTATTATTATCCTGGGTGTTCACAGCTTACGCTGGTAATATCTGGGCCACCTCGAATGATGTTTATAGAGTGTGGCTCTGGGTGGTTGGGTATGAAACATCATGACCCTATATCGATAAAAACTTGTAATCCGACAAGTGTCGAGAATCACTGCCTTCTGCATTTGTACGCATGTACCCTTTGGAAGGTTCAAGACCTTCAAATTCTCCGACAAAGCGTTCGTGGCAACTCCTTCTACTGATATGACGATGGGAATAATCATTATTTCTTTTAACTTCTACATCCGTGCTAATTCTATTTTGAGGTTTTGATATTTGGAGCATTTTTCAGTTTCCACGGACTTTAGGTTATGCCTAAGTCAAACTGCAATATCGATCATTATCATTATCGTTATCGTTATCGTTATCGTTATCGTTATCGCTATCGCTATCTTTTTCGTTATCGTTATCGTTATCGTTATCGCTATCGTTATCGTTATTATTAGTT